ACTGAAATAAATAAATTTTGCGAAATCAAGCTTGACCAACAAAGAGGCAGAAAAGTTCAGTCGAGGCAGTCAAACATCGGTAAATTTCCTTGTGAGCCAATCAGATTTATAATCATTCATGAAATGAATTCGTGGCGTATTCTTATAATAATTATTGGAAAAAATCAGTTAGATTAACAACTTTTAATATATAGAAAAGTCAGTGCGTTTTGGTAACATTATGTTCTAACAATAGCTTTTATGTCATGTTGCTTAGCAACAAAAGTATAACTTAATGTTGTTGTTAGTATATGTACTGAAAGTATAAAATGAAATGTATAGACAACAAAACTGGAAAAATATTTGTTGATCTCTTAATTTAGAGTCTCCTTTGATTAAATAAGTTTTTTTTATTAGAAACGTTGATGATATAACAGAAAACAGCTTAATTCAGAAACGATTTAAGTTTAAAATTGAATCGACATTTTTACTTTCATGATAAATTTTATGCACTTGACCCTAGGCTAGGTGATCCCACACTACGTCTTTACTTATTATACCAACACTCACTACACTTATAAGGATTCAGGGCGTCCCCCATCATGGCCCCATTGCACCCCCGTCACTAAAATAATAATGGGCAGACAGTAATCGAAGTATTTTATCTGGATAAATGCATTTGAGCTTTTATGACTCTCCTATTTCGGGAAATCAAGCGTGACATGACGTGACACGCATTGGCTTTTATATAGGTTAAATTTTAATGGAAGGCTTTTATATAGGTTAAATTTTAATGGAAGGTTTTTATATAGGTTAAATTTTAATGGAAGCCGGTCATTAAATCTGTGATGATACAATCTTTGCTTTCAAGAAAATCCTTTGAGAACAACTTTACATTTAGTTTATTTTAGTTGCAAACCAGTACATGTGTTTATTCTTTGTTTTACATTTGTTATTTTGAATAAGCCAATGCAGCAGTAAACTGTTAAAAAACATATAACATTCAACTGAACACATATGTACGTACGTAGCTTAGAATTTATTCTCCATAACTGGACATGAAAAACTTAAGAAAAAAAGATTAGTACAAACTGTTAATTTGAAAAGGGTGATTAGGGATCGTCAAAAAAGTAGAGATGTAAGTTAATTCAAAATGCAAAGATTATATTTTCAAGCCTACAATTATGGTCCCTAAAAAAGAGTAAACAGGCAAGGCTGGAAATTGTGTCTACGTTATTTTCTCAAGCTACAGTTCCCTATTTTGACCCCTTGCCTACAGTACTTATCAATTTTAGTTGAGTCAAAATATGGATTTTTAGGTTGAGAAAACAATGTAGACACTATTTCCAGACTCGTTTATTTACTTTTTTAAAAGTCCCTAGTTGTAGGCGTGAAAATATAATCTTTGCATTTTGATTCAGTTTGTTTCTGTACTTGTTTGACGATCCCTATTCTCCGTTTTTAAATTAACAATGTTCACTAATCTTGTAGAAGAATACTTAATCAGTAAGAAAATTCATAACGAATATAGTGTTTTATATTGTATTATTTTGTACTGCTTCACTACAATTTTATTCGTGAAAAATAACGACGATAACGACCTGTTGGTGTCATAAGAGTTCACAGCTGATGACAAAACCAACGTTAATATGAAGTCTTGTGATCGTGCTGTCACACCCTGATTACAATGACTTTATAAACATATATAAAATAGTGTTTTACCGGATATAGTCGTTCTTACAAAGAATCATCCCCGCCTTTGTGAAACACGAGCTACCGATGTCAGCTAAAGTTGCTTGGCAGCAAGAGCATTTCAGGCATCCGGTGTGCCAGTACCTGTCCATAGCATGTAACAGAAACCTGTCCACAATTTTCCCGCCACATCCGGCACAGCAGCGTCCTCCACCAGTGTTTGCAGTAGTGGGTAGTTGCGATGGGTGAGGCTGAGACTGCATGTGCAACATGGGGCTTGCACTATGGTAACCGTGGCTCATCATTCCTGTCATAGCTGACCCTGATTCTCCAGGGGACATTGCTGATTGGACATTTGGGTTCATGATCAAGTTTAATAACTTCAGAATGTCTTTTTTTTTATCAAGTTACTTCGAGTTATCGTCACAAAAATTAACTATCCATGACTTAGAGTATTCATAAGAGTCAATCATTTGAAGAAACTTTGTTTTAGTTGAATTGCTCGCAGACTTGGAAAGGTGTTGATGAGAGACGTGATCTGAAACAAAAAGAATATCTAACTTCAGTTAATAATAATTATGGTTAGGTGACACTATTAATTGCAAGGAGCTATATAAAATACATGAGATATTTATAAAGATCATATATAATATCGAATAGAAGAATACGTATGCATTATATAAATGTGCAAATATTCTTTCATAAGAGTCAATAGAAAATATCAACACATATATTTTCATTTACACAAATTTAAAAGAGAATGAAAAACTTTGTATCAGTGAAATTAAAACATATCGCATTGGTAACTGGAAGTAAGATGCCTTGTTACTAACAAACTACAATCTACTGATATCAGTAAGACTGGTACACAGTCTATTGAAACAAGACCAAATAACTAAGTTGTTTTCTCATTGATCTGAAAATCATTGTCTGTGCCTTCGGAAAAAGTAAGCAAATTATTAGCGGGGATTAAACAAAAACGTTTTTGTAATTTTTGGGTGGCGTGGTAACATTTTTCATCGACGATTTAATTACAGAAGAAAAGACTAAATTCTGCATACTATTTAGGCTCCATAATTTCCTGTTGATATTAAGGACGACATGGGGTAAATGTAAGCTATTTTTTTTCGTTTCTCAGCTACTGCGTCGTGTTCATTTTGGAAGTACTTATAAGTAATTGCAATGTTCACAGTTGAACAATCCTTCCTCATACACATTCACACACACAAGGATAAATATGACATACAGTTTGTTTGTTTTAGTACTTAAACATATATATATATATATATATATATGTATACTGTGTATGCAGTGTGTGCCGGTGACAATAAAATGTATTTGTTTGACCAAGCTCGTAAGGCCTGGTGGTCAGGGCGTTTGTCTTGAAATCTATGGGTCGCGGGTTTTAATCCTGCCACCAAATCTGTTCGTCATTTCAGCCGTGGGTCATTATAATGCGTCGGTCAATCTCGCGATTCATTGGTAAAGTTAGCAATGGGTGGCATTGACTACCTGCCTTCCCTCTAGTCTATCACTTCTTTATTAGGGACGGCTAGCACAGATAGCCCTCGTGTAGCTTTGCACAAAATTCAACAAACAAACCATGCTTGTTTCTTTTATCCCTAGAGCGAAATCCAACCATACTGGGCATTAATTTTCAGATTACTACTAATCTGAATGTAATTTCACTCACAATAGTTGAATTCAGATACACTTCGTACCGAAGCAAGTTTGTAACAAGCGTTTTTATTTTGCTGTTTGATGTGTACCGTCTGTGACGTGCATGGCCCTCATGATTTTCGCAACTCAATGCCGACGTGAAACGACTAAGTTTATATTTCACGAGCTACAGCGTCGCCTAAGAAAGGAAATGATTTGTTAGATCAATATGGTTTGATTTAAATGGGTTTATACATGTTCCTCGTGCATCCTTTATTGAAACATGACTATTTGGCATACGAATGTAACAGGAAGTAAAAACTGTCAGCAACTTGTACTTCAAACAATACTACATGTCATATCCGTACATATATGTAAACGTATTTGTTACACTGTCCACAAAATTATAGAAAGTCTCAGGTTAAGGTAAAAATGTATTATTGCTTTTGATCACTAGAATAAATATCTAAAACTAACATATTTAATACCTCAATTTCGATAATTTAGTCGATATAACTGTAGTGAGTGGGGTAACTGTTACTAATATACAAAAATTACTGCAACAAATCAGAAATTCTCGTTATTATCATTATTATTTAAAAAAACAGGTATTCTTGTTAGTAACTACTGTGATCAAAACTGAAAATGTATGCTAAATCAGGCAAAATAATTCCGTAATATAAAGTTTATAAAGATATTTAGAATAAAGCCAATAATGTTATACTAATTCAAGAAATGGGGCCTAGCATGGCCTGGTGATTAGGGCACTCGACTCACAATCTGAGAGTCGCGGGTTCGAATCCCTGTCCCACCAAATATGCTCGCCATTTCAGCCGTGGGAGCGTTATAATGTGACGGTCAATCCCACAATTCGTTGGTAAAAGAGTATCCCAACAGTTGGCGGTGGGTGGTAATGACTATCTGCCTTCCTCTAGTCTTACACTGCTAAATTAGGGACGGCTAGCGCAGATAGCCCTCGTGTATCTTTGAGCGAAATTCCAAAAACAAACAATCGTTGGTAAAAGAGTATCCCAACAGTTGGCGGTGGGTGATAATGACTATCTGCCTTCCCTATAGTCTTACACTGCTAAATTAGAGACGGCTAGCGCACATAGCCTTCGTGTAGCTTTGCGCGAAATTAAACAAAAACAAAAACTAAGGAGCACCAACGTTTGTAAGCGGCTTCGGGACTAAAAATATTAATAATCAAGAAATGGATTTTAGTATACTACAAGTAATATATCAGAGTAATGATTTTTTTTCTTAAACCTTTGGGGCACGGATGCATCCTAATCCTAATATTGGCCCGATTTTGTTACTGACTTGTGCTTTAGAATGCACATGAATATTTGGAAGACCAATTTTATTACTACAGGAATTAATTTTTTTTATTAAACTGAGCATGTTCTTTTTTTTTTCTAATTCGAATGATTGAGGTTTCTAATTAACTATGAATATTTTAAGGAACCATAGTCAAAATTAAAGCAATAAACGTGTATCATGAAATAAAACATTACACTAATGAAAATACTTCAAAGAAGCAACTACTAATTTGACCTTTCCATCACGAGGATAAAATCACTATATATATGAAGGCTGAGATAGAAAAAAAGTGGGCAAGGAATAATTACATATGTGAAAACTCGTTCCGCAGGTTATTGGATTAAATCACTTCAGTAGATTAATGACTTTAATGACTAGTTGTACAAGCCCAAGCACAAGAAGCTATAAAAATCTCTAATCCTAACGATCATTAACAAGGTCAGATGCTCATTACGTACAGTATTTATTAGCACTCTAACGAAGTGAAGAAAGCCATACATCAAAAGTTCACCGACAAAACCCTTTTCGCTGTTGTATCTAATTTATGAAACCCCGTTAAAGAGAATGCATAGAAAAATGAAACAGTGCTGTGGTACAGCAGCGTCTAAGTATTAGTAACGAGAAGTACTTTGGGCTAGAACAGGTTTCTCTTGTCTCTAAGTGAAGTGTCTCTAATTGATTTGTTATCTGAGAGAGAAGAGGTTAATAAAGGAGGCACAGGCAGATTTGACGTGTTAGACACATGGCTAGCACATGAGAAGAATTATAAACTGGACATATTTGAATACGTTATTAACCAGAAAGACTGGATTTGATACTTTTATAGATACGATTCATAGGCTGCAAACGTGAAAACCTGTTAAAACTTCCAACCCCTCTTGTCTTACAGTTCCTCTCCCTTGACTATTTTAAAACAACAACGATTTTTTTTTGCCCTACAGTAACTATGTGCTTACCTTAAATGTCATATTGTAACATATATCTTATTCATATGTTGTATATATGCCAAATATTACCAATAGCACCGCTGTATATATAAACCAAATAACGTAAATACATGGGTGAAAAAGACAAAACATGTTCAAAAATAAGCTATACATAATATCAGCATTTATACAAAGTAGTCGCACCATTTCAAACCACGTGCTATAGAGTATTATATCACACGTTACAGTATAATTTATTTAGTATCAGTATATTTGATCAAATTTTCAGTCTCACTTCCAACCAATAATTGATGCAACACTGATAATTTAATGAGTTTCCCTACTTGGCCACGTGTAACTCACGTACATTTGGTGAGCAAGCTTACGTTCGACATGAGTTACTGTTTAAGCAACTAAAACTGCCCAGTAAACTAAATACGTGCATCTTCAGACACACATTAGTTTTGCTCATATTATGAACTTTGCGAGCAAAACAAAATGTCCCAATTAACCCTAAATACAATTAGAATTTAACTCATCACACAACCACAGAAGTATTAAACACGTGGATAATTGTGTTTCTGTGGAAGAAAATGTACATTACCTTAGTGACCTACCTTAACACAGCTCACCATTAACTTATTTGAAATGATGTCATTTTATAACCTAAAAGTTTCAACCTTAGCAGCACCTTATCAGACACGTGGGCTAAACGGCCAGGTTAGATATATCCGTCTAGAATTTAGAAATGTTGAACGGAAGAAAGGCTATAAGTCAGTAGCATCTGAGTCGCCTACGAAACGAGTCCTAAGCGAATAGCGGGATGATTGTCACTTCTATAACACATACACAACTGAAAGTGCGGAACGTGCTCAGTAACATATTGCAGGCTCGATCCTTTGACCTTCTAATCCATATCCCGGCACGATAATCAATCGGCCACACCCGGCCCTGTTAAAAAAAAATACTAATGATCTTGATTATCTGTATGTGTTGTAAGGTAATTGTACATTTGTAATGGAAAACATTCTCGCCAAAGATATAAAAGAACTAAAGTCTTTAGAATTCTAACAGCTTAACAGTAACTTGAGTAAACGTGTTTTTGTGCAATATTTTGTATGCTTTATAGCAAAATTACACAACGAGATATCTGTACTATGTCCAGATCGAGGATCAAACTCTGAATTTTAGCGTTATACGTTCTGAAGCTTACCATTGAACTACTAGTGAACCACAGTAATTATAGTTAAATTGAAAAATAATTTATTCCTTCTTGACACTAGCGATACTACCACGTGCGTTCCTCAAATAGTAAGAAAATTGTATTAAAATCATACGATGCCTTGTCTCTTTGCTATGAGTAAAGTAATACTATTTTGATGAGTGATTTTAATATCTAAGAAAAACTAATTATTAAACACAAATTTGAATAACTCAAAGCAGTTTTAAATTTCAAATAACTGTGTTATCACATATCAAGCCAGACATTAGTCACCACTCCACGAGGAAAAGTTACAAAACGTATGCTTCTTTTTTGACAAATCACAACTGGAAAATTACACTAAGCATTTCTCTAAATCAAATGAGTCGTGTAGTGATCTGACTTTAATGTAAGGAGAATGAAGCGTTA